ATGGTGGTCAAGAGCATGGCTTTCCCAAAACTAAATACAAATGTTGTTTGACTTGTCGAGATTTTTTGGTAGGTACCTAAGAGTTGTAGAGGAGCTTGAAAGAGTTGATTTGGAGATCCTATCAAGGGAAGAAAAGCTTGCCTTTTTCATAAACCTATATAACATGATGGTTATTCATGCCATATCTATATATGGTTTCCCTGTTGGACCCTTGGATAGGAAAAAGTTTTTAGGAGATTTCAAGTATGTTATAGGCGGATGCTCCTACTCCTTATCTGCTATACAGAATGGTGTTCTACGAGGCAACCAACGGCCTCCATACAACCTCACCAAGCCTTTTGGTCCTAAAGACAAACGTTCCAAGGTAATTTTTTTTCAACAATATATTTTATTCTTTCAATCATTCTCTACTATATTCAAATATTCCCAATCTAAAGCATCGTATTTTCAAATAAGCTCACTTGCCAGATTAGTTGGTTCCAACTGTTTGATACCTGTATTGCTCCTTTCTGTAAAACCAAAACTTACATTTTAAACAAAATTTTTGGAGGAATTATTATCATCAACTTGTCTTAGCTATATCCATAGATTGCCCTTAGCGATGTCCGTTAGAATCCTGATATATACATATGTTAGCACACCCAAACGTGATAATAAAAAATGCAGATAATTATTTGGGCTTTGCTCGTCAATTCATTTACAAATGCATAAGTTTTGTAATGATTTTCAACATACGTGGGAAGCCCTTACGGCCATCAAGATCTAAGCTTTCATCAATCATCATTTGAAATAGCTTATTAGTATAGAGTCACAATGGAACATAAGCAGATGCTTGAATCGAAGAGAGGGGAAGAAGGGGAGAGGAAGTAATCCGTGCAAACTACTTTGGTTCTTGGAGGACATGTTCACAATTAATAATGCATTTTTTCATTCAATAATTGTAAAACTCCTTGCTCTTAGATCTCTATTTATTGTTTTAGGGTATTTGTTTTGACCTTTTATTGTCGGTCAAGTTTCCATTTTTTTTTAATGCTGAAAGCAGAAATTTCATGATAGATGTATTGCTCCGATCAACAAAGTACTTTTTTTGTTTGAATCAGGTGGCTCTTCCCTACCCAGAACCGTTGGTACACTTTGCATTGGTATCTGGCACCTGTTCTGGGCCTGCTCTGAGGTGTTATTCACCCAACGACATAGACAAAGAACTTGTTGAGGCTGCACGC